TACACTTATTCTCTCTCATAAAGCCGAGGGTGGCCTTGAACTCACAGAGATCCATTTACCTCCTTCTCCCCAGTGCTGGGATTAAAGGTGTGGCCACCACTGCCTGTCCTCTATGAACAAATAGTGGCTTAGATATGTACTACCACAGCCTGTCTTCTATGGCTGTGGCTAGCTTTGCACTCTGATCTTCAGGCAAGCTTTATGAGATCATGAACAAAATATCACATGGCCTTACTGTAGTAACTGTGTCACAGGAGGTAGGTTTTGAGGTCTCAAAAGACCATGACAAGTCCAGTGTCTCAGTCCCAATGGATCAGGATATAGCTCTCAGCTACTGCTCCAGGGACATGATGTTGACATGTAGATGACTGCGGATAGATTCATACCTATTGTCATGCACAAAACTTAAGTCCACAGGCATCAAAGATCTCAACATAAATCCAGCCACACTGAACCTCTTAAAAGAGAAAGTCAGAGGTACCCTTGAATGAATTGGTACTGGAGACCACTTCCTGAACATAACACCAGTAGAACAGTCACTGAGATTGACAATTAATAAATGGGACCTTCTGAAACTGAGAATCTTCTCTAAGGCAAAAGACATGGTCAATAAAACTAATGGAAGCCCACAGAATGGGAAAAGATCTTCACCAACCCTACATTAGACAGAGGGCTGATTTCCAAAATACACAAAGACCACAAGAAGCTAGTCACCAAAACACCAAATAATTCAATTAAAAAGTGGGACGCAGAACAAAACAGAATTCTCAATAGAGGAATCTAAAATATCTGAAAGACACTTAAAAAAGTGCTCAACATCCTTAGCCGTTAGTGAAATGCCAATCAAAACAACTCCAAGATATCTTCTTACACCTGTAAGAATGGCTAAACTAAAAAACACCAATTACAGTTTATGCTGGAGAGGATGTGAAGAAAGGGGAATGTTTCTCCATTGCTGGTGGGAATGCCAACTCATACAGCCACTTTGGAAATCAGGATGGAGATTTCACAGGAAAATTGGAATCAGTCTACCTCAAGATTCAGAAATTTCACTCTGAGGCATATACCCAAAGGATGCACATTCATAAGCCAGGACATCTGTTCAACTATGTTCATAATAGCATTATTTGTAATAGCTAGATCCTGGAAGCAGCCTAGATGCCCGACAATTGAAGAGTGGTTAGAGAAAATGTGGTACATTTACACAATGGAGTACTACTCAGCAGAAAAAAACAATGGAATCTTGAAATTTGCAGGCAAATGAATGGCACCAGAAGAAAACATCCTGAGTGAGGTAACCCAGTCACAAAAAGACAAGCATGGTATATTCTCACTCATATATGGATTTTAGACATGGGTCAGGGGAGTGTCAGCCTACAATCCCAAGGCTAGTGAGTCTGGGAAACACAAAGTTTCCCAAGAAATATGCATTATACCACAGAGAAGTGGAATGAGGCAAGATCTCCTGAGCAGATTGAGAACATGGGGTAAGGGGAGAGGGAAACAGGAAAAACAGAGGGGGGAGAAGGGGAGGGGAGAAGAAGACATGGGGGAGCAGGAAGGTTGAGTAGGGTTAAGAATAGAGGAGAGCAGAATGAGAGATACCATAATAGATGGAATCATTATACCTATGAGGAGACAGCTGACACTAGTGAGATTTCCAGAGATCTACAAGGATAACACCAACTGAAAACTAAGCAATAGTGGAGAGACTACATGAATAGCCCCTACCTGATGACTACCTTATATGCCATCCTAGAACCTTCATCCAGTGACTGATGGAAGCAGAGACAGATACTCATAGCCAAACACAGAACTGACCCCCTGGAACCCAGTGACAGAGATGGAGGGGTGATGAACAAAGGGGTCAAGACCGTGCTGGTGAAACCCACAAACAGCTGACTGGACAAGGGGGAGCTCTTGAACCCCAGGCTGATGGCTGAGAGGCCAACTGGGGACTGATCCAGACTCCATGAATGCATTGTCAGTGAGGAGGCCTCAGACATCTCTGGGGCCCTGGGTAGTAGATTAGTGTTCACCATGGCGTACAAATGAACTTTGGGAGCCCATTACACATAGATGGATGCTCTCTCAGCCTGAACACATGGGGAAGGGCCTAGGTACTGCCCTGGGTGAAATGACAGACTCTGGAGACTCCCCCCAGGAGGACTTCACCCTCCCTGGGGAATGATTTTGGGATTGGGCTCGGGGGTGGGGGGACAAGGAAGGAAGTGTGGGAGAGGCAGCTGGGATTGACATTTCAAGCATTCATGTTTCTAATTCAAATAAGAACATATTTTTTAAAAAATTTAATGTCCAATTCTGTCCATTGTTGATGTGTTTGAAGACCATCTATCTAAAATACATCTCTGTATCATCTTGAAAACATACCTAACACAATTACAATTTTGATTATTGTAGAAAACTAACTACTAACTTGCATTTCTTAGTTATACACTACGTTTTTTAATGGGCTGCATAGGTACAATACCACAAACAAGAGTAGAAACATTTGGGGCATTGACAGGGGTACATGTGACAAGTGAGAAATAAAAGGAGAAGAAAAAGTAAATTTCTCTCTCTTGGATGCTGGCCACATTTCTGAGTGTGTCTCATCTTCCCAGCTTCTTGTGTAAGTGGTTTCTTCTGTTAATAAATATTGTTGTTCCCCCACCCAAATAAAGAGTAGAAACATACATACAATAAAACAAAAATTACTTTAAAATTGTATCAATACACCAAAATCCATACTGATGTAAGATATTTGAGGTTAATAGCGGTCATTTTATCCTATAATCTATATCCCCATTGAATGATGACAAACATCCAAAATCCACCAAATAACCAAGTGCCACCCACTCCACCTCTTGGGATTGTGGGTGTTGTGCTTTTAGGGCTGCTTTCTGTTGTCTGTGGATAACGGTGTCTTTAGGGAACCTGAGAAAACTGAGATAATGTCAAAGTCCTGGGGAAACTAGCAATGACATTTGTTGTCCAGTCTCTATGCAACAGAAAGTGCAAGGCTTATCGGGAGTCCTAAGTAGAATAGTCTATGAGGCTGCATATCTCAGCCAGCAGCCTTGAAGCACTTCGGGATGCAGAACTCTGAGGAAAGTGCAGCAGAGAGGCTGGGTCAACTGGGCCACCCATTTTCATTAGTGTCTGGTCCCCTTGCTCTGAAAACACACACACTTTCAAAGGTAACATACATATCTGCATTAGCACGGGTATGGACTGTGTGTTTGTACACAAGCCAGCCAAAGATTATTTTTTTTATGTTTGAACAAGTAAAATATACTTAACCTGTCTTATAGTTTTTCTAGGTTCATTTCTTTATTTCTGTAGCCAAGATTTTAGGGGTTGTCCCCAACCAAACCTGATTGTTGTCAACCTAGAAGGAATCCACAGTCTAAAGCAACATATTTTTTACCTCCATTTTGAAGTTAAGATATTCCCAAAGTATCTAGGCAGGTTTAATTTAGCAGCCCCTCTTACAATCCCATGTGTCTCAGCAGCTGTCTTTTGATAATAAGCACTTAAAAAGTTCAAAGTCAATACAACACAATACAGGATCCAGACTTCCTGTGTATCATCTTTATGTGGCTTATTATTTTTGTATTAATTTACTCCACCTTTAAAATTTTTATTATTTTAAACTTTTTTTCTATTACTGTCTATATTTTTTCTTTCTTAAGCTTGCACTCATTTTTTAAACACACTATAACCTGTTTAGAGGTGTTCTTTTTTTCCATCTGAACCTGCTTTACTGCATATTTCTATCCTCCTCTGTCTGCATGAGCAAAACCTTAAACTGCTAAGCTACCTCTGTGTCCTCCATTAAGGCTTTGGTGACAAGCTCTCCCTCCTCCTCTGGCCTGTGAGCACAGCTGGCCTGGTCTGGAGGTGTATGTGACTGGAACTGTATTCAAACGCCCCAGCTACGGAATGCTTCTGAGGCAGGCATTTTTACTTAGCTTGCTTTTTCGATTTAGCATACTGGTCTTTGTTTTCTTTATTTTTTAACAACTATCTTAGGCCCTATGCAGAAATTTGGGCCCCACTTAGAAACTCCAAATTTACCAGGCATTTTCTTTTAGGCCACCAAATGGCTCCTCAATCATGACACAGAGACTTTTTATTAGTTTTGAATGCTCAGCCTAGCTTACACTCATTTCAGACTAGACCTTTTAACTTAAATTAACCTGCTTCTCATTGTCTACTTTTGGTTCTTTTTGTATATCTTACTTTCACTGCTACTCTTGTCTGCCTGTCTGGCAGCTGCCTGGCTTTTGTCCCCAGGCATTTCCCCCTCTTTCTCCTCCTTCTCTTCTCTTATATCTCTCATTCCTAGATTTCCCCTCCTACTTATTCTCTGTTTGCCATCCTTGCCTATCCCTTTTCTACCTAGCTATTGACCTTTCAGCTTTCTATGAGATCAACTGATTGCATTAGGCAGGAAACTTGAAACAAATGCAATACATGATTACAAAATTAAACAAACTCAGCACAAACAAGTGTAACACATCCTTACATCATCACAAATGCAGCATAAACAAATGTAGCATACCTTTGCATAGTTAAAATGATATTCCACAACACCATGATAATTGCTTTATCCAAAAATGTGTGGAAACAGAAGCAGATCATTCTTGGGAAGCTGAGTCATTGTGAGTTTGTTCCTTCCATCTGTTCTAAATCATGTTGGATTTAAGGGTCCACCTTAGATTAGATGTGACAGAACAGAATGTCTCTACAAACTTACAGCTACAAACATGAGCAACAGATGAATTTTTGCAGCTATAATCAAGTAAGATTATGAAGGTGTTTGTAATTAGACCCTCATGTAGCCTGCCAATAAAGACAGCCACCCAGGTTTCAGAATGGTTTGTCCCAGTTAACAAGTACAAAGTTGGTTCAAATGCACTTGTCACTTACATCAATAAAGACACTGTCCCTTTCTTAAATAGGGAACAATTCACTCTAGGTTCTCCTAACCGGGTTCAGCAGTCCAGCCTACCATACCATATGACCTTGAGAAATGCCCTCTTGTTGTCTTTGTTCCGCAGACTGTAGACCACAGGGTTGAGCAAGGTTGTGAAGACATTGTAAAAAAGTGAAGGGGAGTATCTGGAGTTGGGCCTCATGTAGATGTAAGTGCCAGGACCATAGAAGAATGAGACCACAATCAAGTGTGAGGCACAGGTAGAGAAAGCCTTACGGCAGGCCTGGGTGGACTTGATCTTCAGAATTGCCTTGTCAATGTGAACATAGGAGGCCACTATGAGAGAAATTGGAGTAAGAATGACAAAAAACACTCAAGACAATGTCAACCATTTCAATGAGGTGGGTATCCATGCAAGCCAGGCTACGCACTGCAGGGCCTTCACAAAAGTAGTGGTTGACCTTGTTGGGCCCACAATATGGCAGACTCATGGTGAAGAAAGTATGTAACAAAGCAGAGGGGAAATCACAGACCCAGGACTCAGCTGCCAACCATAGGCACAGTGTCCATTTAAGGATGACTGTATAATGAAGTGAGAAGCAATTGGCCACATACCTGTCATAAGCCATAACGACAAAGAGGATACACTCAGTGAAGGCCAATGCACCAAATACATACATTTGAAGCCAGCAGTCAGAAAAGGAGATTCTCTGGGATTTAGCAAGAAGATGCACCAACATCTGGGGCATTGTGGTTGTGACATAGTCCATATATAACAGGGGTAGGATGCAGAGGAAAAAGTGCATGGGTGTGTGCAGCTGTGTGTCTATGCAGACGAGAATGATGATGAGCCCATTGCCCATGACTGAGCTCAGGTAGATGAGAAAGAACACAGTGAAGAGGAAGCTGTTGGTTGTGGGGTCTCTGGAGAAGCCAAGCAGGATAAACTCAGAAACCCAGCTTTGGTTCTGCCTTGGAATCATCCACATGGTGCAGGCTGTATGAGAATCACTTTCAAATGGTCCACTTCTGCCCACACTCAGGGCAGAGGGCAGAGGTAAGCTCTGGGTCCCCATTTTAGACCCGAATTCCTCCCGGTCACCCTCTCTCGGATCTCCTCCTATCCCCAGGCCGACTCGCCCCCTGAGGACCACTTGACCAAGAGGCCAGGAGCCTGCAGAGAGAGCTGCTCTCCTCCCGCCCACATTCAGTGCAGAGAGCAGAGGCCAGAGAGCAGAGGCCAGAGAGTATTGGATTTGCTTGCACCCACCAAGAGTGAAACCTGGTTGCCTACCCACCAGGAAAGGAAGAGGCTCTTTTTACACCCACTGGAAGAAGTGAAAGGAAAGAGACAATATAAGAACACACTCAGCAAAAGATAAACAAATATGACACCACCAGAGTCTAGAGAATCTATACCAGCAAGACCTGAACACCCCAGTGAAGATGAAGCAGAAGGGAATGACCTTAAAAACACCTTCATGAATCGAAGAAGAGGCAGACTCCCTTGGTTAAGTACTGAGCTGAACTCAAGAAAGCCAGTAACAGAGAGGGAGGACTGATGATCAAAGGGATTAAGACTGGGCTGGTTTAATCCCCAGAAACAGCTGACCAGACAAAGGTTAACTCTTGAATCCCAGGCATCAGCCTGGGAATCCAGCATGGGACTGATCAAGACCCCCTGAATCTGGGTGTCAGTGAGGAGGCCTAGGGAATCTATTGAGCCTTGGGCAGCAGATCAGTACCCATCCCAAGTATACACACAGACTTTGGACTCCCATAGAACAATGTGAGGTGCACTCTCACCCTGAACTCTTGGGGAAGGGTCTAGGCCCTGCCCTATATGAAATGACAGACTATGGACACCCCCATGGAGGGCCTCACCCTCCCTGGGGGAATGAGGGGATAACGGGGGGGGTTAGGGGGAGGGCACGGGAGGAGGGGAGGGAATGGGAGAGGGACCTGGAACTCACTTGTGAAGCAACCTCGTTTCTTATCTAAATTTAAACTGGAAAATAAAAAAAAAACACCTTCATGAAAATTGTAGAGGCCCTCAAAGAGGATATGAGAAAATCCCTTAAAGAAATGGAAGAAAAACGAACTAAAAATACCAAAAAATACAAGAATGGGAGGAAAACACAAAGCAAAAATTACAAGAAACAATTCAAACAGTACAAGGATTGAAAGCTGACATGGAGACAATAAAAAACACATCTGAAGGAATGCTGTAATAGAAAACTGGGGAAACAGTCAGGTACTACAGATGCAAGCATAACCAACAGAATACAAGAGATGGAAGAGAGAATCTTAGGTATTGAAGACACACTAGGAGAAATAGATTCATCGACCAAAGAAAATCTTAAGTCCAACATATCCCTAACACAAAATATCCAGGAAATATGGGACACTGAAAAGACAAGACCTAATAATAATGGGTATAGAAGAATGTTAAGAAATCCACCTCTAACGGGCAGAAAACATATTCAACAAAATCACAGAAAAAACTTTCCCAACCTAAAGAAAAACATACCAATGAAGACACAAGAAGCTTACAGAACATCAAATAGAGTGGACCACAAAAAAAGTACCCTCACCACATAATAATCAAGACCACAAGCATACAGAATAAAGAAAGAATACTTAGAGCAGTTAAGAAAAAACATCAAATAACATATAAAGGCAAACCTATCAGAATTACACCTGACTTCTCCATGGAAACTATGAAAGCCAGAAGGTCCAGGATAGATATTCTATTAACACTAAGAGACCATGGATGCCATCCCAGACTACTATACCCAGCAAAGCTTTCAATCAATATAGATGGATAAAACAAGATATTCCATGACAAAACCAGATTTAAACAATACATATCCACTAACTCAGCCCTACAGAAAGTTCTGGAACAAAAACTCCAATCCAAGGAAGTTAACTACAACCAGAAAAACATAGGCAATAGATAATCCCACTTTACCAACAGCCAAAAGAGAAAAGGGATGGAAATCCATATACAATTCCAACAACAACAACCATTCCAAAACAAGCAAGAATGAGCAATCAAAGATCATTAATATCCCTCAATATTAATGGCCTTAACTCGCCCATAAAAAGGCACAGGCTAAAAAAAAAGGCACAGGCTAACAGAATGGATTCGAAGACAGAATCCATCCTTCTACTGCATACAAGAAACACACCTCAGCTTCAAAGACAGATGTTACCTCAGAGTTAAGGGTTGGGAAAAGATATTCCAATCAAATGGACCCAAGAAACAAGCAGGGGTAGCAATCCTAATATCTAACAAATTAGACTTTAAACTGAAATCAATCAAAAGAGATGAAGGAGGTCATTTCATATTCATCACAGGAGAAATCCACCAAGATGAAGTCTCAATTCTGAACATCTATGCCCTAAACCCAAAGGCAACCACATTTGTAAAAGAAACATTACTAAAACTCAAACCACACATAAAACCTCACACAGTTATAGTGGGAGACTTCAACATTCCACTCTCACCATTAGATAGGACTACTAGACAGAAACTTAACATAGAAACAAAGGAACTAATAGAAGTTATGACCCAATTGGGTTTGACAGGCATCTATAGAACATTCCATCCAAACACAGGAGAATATACCTTCTTCTCGGCGCCACATGGAACCTTCTCAAAAATCGACCACATACTTGGCAACACAGCAAACCTCAACAGGTACAAAAAATTGTGATAACTCCATGTATCTTATCAGACTACTTTGCTTTAATGTTAGAATTCAACTACAACATAAATTGCAGAAACCCTACAAACTCATGGAAATTGAATAATGTGCAATTGCACCAATCCTGGGTCAAAGAAGAAATAAAAAAAGAAATTAAAGACTTCCTAGAATTCAATGAGAATGAAGACACAACATACCTAAACTTATGGGACATATTGAAAACAGTGCTAAGAGGAAAGTTCATAGCACTAAGTGCCCACATGAAGAAACTGGAGAATAGTTATACTAGAGAATTAACAGCACAGCTGAAAGCTCTAGAACACAAAGAAGCAAACTCCCCCAGGAGGAGTAGACACCAGGAAATAATCAAATTGAGGGCTGAAATCAATAAAGTAGAAACTAGGAAAACAATACAAAGAATCAATGCAACAAAGAGTTGGTTCTTTGAGAAAATCAACAAGATAGACAAACCTTTGTCCAAACTTACCAAACAGCAGAGTGGGAACATGCAAATTAACAAAATCAGAAATGAAAAGGGGGACATAACAATGGACTCTGAGGAAATTCAGAGAATCATCAGGTCATACTTTGAAAACCTGTACTCCACAAAATTCGAAAATTTAAAGGAAATGGACAACTTACTGGATAGCTATCACTTGCCAAAATTAAATCAAGAACAGATAAGCAATTTAAATAGACCTATAACCCCTATGGAAATAGAAGCAGTCATCAAAAGTCTCCCAACCAAAATAAGCCCAGGCCCAGATGGCCTCAGTGCAGAATTCTACCAGAAATTCAAAGAACAGCTTATACCAATTCTTCTCAAAGTATTCCACGCAATAGAAGCAGAAGGGTCTTTGCCAAACCCTTTCTACCAGGCTTCAATAACCTTGATCCCGAAGCCACACAAAGACACAACTAAGAAAGAGAACTTCAGACCAATATCCCTCATGAACATTGATGCAAAAATACTCAATAAAATACTGTCAAATCAGATCCAAGAACACATCAAAACAATCATTCACCACGATCAAGTAGGTTTCATCCCAGGGATGCAGGGATGGTTCAACATACGAAAATCCATCAATGTAATCCACCATATAAACAAGCTGAAAAACAAAAATCACATGATCATCTTACTAGATGTTTAAAAGCCCTTTGACAAAATCCAACACCCCTTCATGATAAAGGAACATAACTAAACATAATAAAAGCTATATACAGTAAACCAACAGCCAACATCAAACTAAATAGACAGAAACTCAACACAATTCCTCTAAAATCAGAAACAAAACAAGGCTGTCCACTCTCTCCATACCTTTTCAATATTGTACTTGAAGTTCTAGCCAGAGCCATATGACAACAAAAGGAGATCAAGGGGATACAAATTGGGAAGGAAGAGATCAAACTTTCACTATTTGCAGATGATATGATAGTTTACATAAATGACCCAAAGAACTCTACCAGGGAACTCTTACAGTTGATTAACACCTTCAGCAAAGTGGTAGGCTACAAAATCAACTCAAAAAAATCAGTACCCTACTATATATAGATGATAAAAGGGCTGAGAAAGAAATCAGAGAAACATCACCCTTTACAATTGCCACAAACAACATAAGATACCTTGGGATAACGCTAACCAAACAAGTGAAAGACCTGTATCACAAAAACTTTGAATCTTTAAAGAAAGAAATTAAAGAATCCCTCAGAAAATGGAAAGATCTCCCATGCTCTTGGATAGATAGGATCAATATAGTAAAACTGGCAATCCTGCCAAAAGCAATCTACAGATTCAATGCAATCCCCATTAAAATCCCAGCACAATTTTTCACAGACCTTGAAAGAACAATAATCCCTGACTTTAAGCTCTATTATAAAGCTATAGTCCTGAAAACAGCTTGGTATTGGCACAAAAACAGACAGGTACACCAATGGAATCGAATTGAAGACCCTAATATCAACCCATACACATTTGAACACCTGATCTTTGACAAAGAAGCTAAAACTATACAATGGAAAAAAGAAAGCATCTTCAACAAATGGTGCTGGAGTGACTAGATGCTGGCATGTAAAAGACAACAGATAGATCCATATCTATCACCATGCACAAAACTTAAGTTCAAATGGATCAAAGACCTCAACATCAATCCAGCCACACTGAATCTCTTAGAAGAGAAAGCAGGAAGTACTCTTGAACGAATTGGTACAGGCGACTGCTTCCTGAACATAACACCAGTAGCACAGACACTTGAGATCAACAATTAATAAATGGGACCTCT